CATGCCCCCTGTGGCACTCGTGCAATACTTTAGGCACCACTGCTGTAGGCTCTAAGTTGCATCTTAAAGTTGTTTAAAATGCAAACTGATGCTCATTTGTATGGACAAAATGCGTACAGTTCCCACCATGATGGCCATTATAGGCCTTTTATCCTTGTAAAAATGCATAGAATTGTGAAGTTCCTTTATCAGGAAATGCTGCTATTGCATTGGTACACTGTCTTCTGGTACACAAGCTTGGGATTTCCTAATTACGCTCTCAGCTATAAACTGAATGTCTTCTAAATAAGCCAGAAACCAATTTGAAATACAGAAAGAAACTCATATTACACGATACACAACATGGTTTGGGCAATGTTTGTATGCCATGGGATTCTGTCTTTTGAGTGCATATTGGAGGGGGATTATTTGGGCACTCCCTGTACGAAATCTTGTAATGCCCTCTAGTGTACAGTCATTGACTCTATTTCAAGGAAGAGAAGTGAGGTGGAAACAGTTGAAAGGTGGAAGGGGGTAAGAAATTGTTGTAAACTGTCCCAAGATATTACTAAGGGAACAGTGTATAAAAGCTTTAAATAGATATATAAGCTTAGAAATAGAATAGCAGTTAGGGAAATTTTGCTTGCTAAGTCTACTTTTGTTAATAATTAAAAGAAAGAGAGGAAAAGAAGAGGGAGACAATAAAAGGAGAAAGGCATCTATGACACAGAATAAAAATTGGATCCCACATTTCAGGTTAGAGCTAAAGGCAGGACTGAAAAGCTGCAGCAGCTTGCTGAAATCTGGCTATTTTGCGCCGAATAAAGAGAGATAAAAACAACCATCAGAAAATAGCAATACTTTATTTTGTTCTTTCTTTATTATATAAGTGTTCTCTGTTTCCAGAGAACCGGGGTTCTAATTTGCAAAAGAATGGACATACAAATACCCTACAGGAATCAACTATACAGAAATATACAAAGCCTTTAAAGTTAGTTTACTTAAAGTACAGAGTTAGAATGCCCAACATCCTAAATCTTTTCATTAGGTTCATGAGATAAGATACATGTAATTCAATCAGTTATATATATCATCTGAACTACAAAAGAGAAACAAGCCACCTGGAGAAAAGAACAGTGTTTACACTTATCTACAACAGTGCAAATTATCACAGCGTGCAAGCGGCAGTAGTCTCTAGAACAACAAACCAACAGGAATCTTAAGTAATGCAGTATGCATTACACATCTGAGAGAGAAAACCTATTTAATATACAGTATATGCATTTCGGCACGCTGAATTTTTGACAAATTACTTGCATTGACTCTTGCTTTTTGTTTAAAATTAAATGTGTGCACAGTTGCATGTGCACACACGCACGCACGCACGCGCACACACACACACCTTAAATAGCTAGCTGCGCAATCCTATGCATGTGGCTGGACCTTGCTGGGAATTGTAGTTGTTTTTTCTGTGTACACTTGCATAGGATTGTGCCTTAAATAAGATTTAAGGACAACTGCTTACCATAAATAACAGCCAGTATTGCACAAACAGCTTGAAATCATTTTAAAAGTATGTCAGCAATACTGTCACACTGCAACTCACAGACATAAGATAGTTACATTTCTTTCTTTTTTTTTTAAAGATGTCTCAAATAATTCAGTGTTTGAAGCTATGAGGATTTTGTATGTGTTATGGGGAAGGCTGCTTGTTCGTTGTTTTGTTTTTGAGTAACAGGTTGATAAATCTGTGGAAAAGTAGAAGCTGAATCTACTGTTTAATAATGGCAGAGTCCTAAAAGTACAACTTGTATAAATATTGTATGAGGTGGGTAAGTGGAGGTTAGAAAACACACCACAATTCTATAGAAGTGTACTTATATATTCTATTTAACTCAATGGGGTTTACTACATGATCGCAGGGTTAAGCATGTCTCAGTTCATAAGAAATACATTCTTAGAATGCTTGGATACAGCTCTCATTAAGGGCCTAATTCTAGGCGTGTTCAGGCAGAAAAAGTCCCGATACTCCCAAGCGCCGCTGGGATTGCAACCTTGCAGCATAAGCTTCCACCCTTAATGCAATTGGCAAACGTTTCGGTGCTTGTAACTGAGGACGTGCTGAGAAACACACAAGCTCCAGGACCATCTAACTTACGATGTCATAATTTTGACTTTTTTTAATAAAGCAAAAACTTTTGGGTGTCCTCATATCAACATTGCATGTACTCCAAATATACAGAGAAGGGCACTCTCTGTTGCCAACAGCTGAAGCTCTGAGCAGAGCAGAGCACAGTCCAGAACCCTGCCTCTGTGGGGCTCCCAGTATGCAGTTTGCCTACATGGACACAGCCCCCAGTTGTACCTTTGGCTGAACAAGCCAAGATCTGGAGAAAGTACAGCCGTACGAGAGCCACACCACACATTCCCTGAACAGATGAAATAAGGGTCACTCTGGTACTCCTGTTGCAGACAGGCAAACTGCAGCCCTCTGGATGTTTCCTCCTGCAACTCCCATCAGTCTAACTGGTTGAGGTGCCATGGGAGTTGTAGGTCACAAGTTGCCTGCCCCAGTCTCCTTGAGAAAGCATTGAAGGGGATCTTGAACAAATCTCAATTGAAAGCCATGTGTTGGTGGGAATTAATACCAGGAGGTGTTCCATTACCAGGACTAGCTTTGCACAGCCTATTTCATTTCATATGTGAGACATCTCAGTCATGCATTGAGTTTGGGTGACAGATGGCCATCTCCTTAAGTCTATGCTAGTCTCCATTGCACCAGGTGACTCATAGCCATAACACAGCATCATCTTTGTCTTCTGAGAAACCCCACTAGGGTGTGTTTAAAAATAGCACTGGTTTGAGCATAATCCAGTCCATGGTGATTTTTATGGGAAAGGAAACCATACCTATGTTAACAGATGGCTCATATACCTTAGCAAATGCTAACACTGGAAGGTATTTCTACAACCAAAGGAAATTTGTTAAGTATTATGACTATTAATAATTTTCAGCAAAGGGAGCAGAAAACTATTATAGATATTATTATAAAACTATTATAAACTATTAAAATATATCAATACTGATCAGAAAGAACAAGCTACAGGTACAATTCTTGCACAAGCAGTCATTTTTCATTTCCTATATGCATTTTTCCAAGCTTTCAAGTTGCAGCCGCACCAATGAAAACAGTATTATTCCAACCCACTAGGTGCCCAGGAAGTTCTTATTCTGTGCATGATCCACATATTAAAGATTCAGTTACACAGCCTGTTAAAATCAATAGGACACAGAAGAGCCATGCAAAGCCACCACTCAAGCCCGTCGGTGCATACAGAGCTGATGTGCTCTGAGCCTATACATGCTCTATAATGCACATATAGTCTTGGTTGCATGAATCTAGCGGATTTAATCAAAGGCCTGGACTCTTCATGCTGTATAAGGATGCCAAGCTACAACAGATTTGGTATATCTATGAAAATGGCACAGGGATTTCATAACTAGCAGACTATGTCACTCCCCAAAGAAATGGAAATCACAGTTACTGTCCCTACTAACATTGAGACCAGTGGACACTTAAATGTATTATGATGGCAGGGTTAAGGTTCATGTTCATTTGCCTAAGGTGATGGAGATTCCCCTTCTTTTTTAAACAGTGCTGTGGAATCCAGATCTAGGCAGAGTTCAACTCTCATGGGTTAATTAACCTACAGTTATTGGCTTAGGATGAGTTAATGCACCAAAGTTTAGCTGGAGCACATGTGAGGTGTGTACAGCTGCCATTTAACTATGCCTTTCGGAACAGAGGTTCCAGCATGTTATGCAACTCTGGCTATCAGGAGTTAACACAACCACACTTGCATGGCTTGTTTCATTAACCCACAATGGCTGGGTTTGCATGGAAAACTGCAACCCTCAACTAGTAGCTGCATATTCAGAATAGTGCCTGCGCATGCCAAGGCTAATTGTGAGTTAATTAACCCATGATAATCCACCCTGTCAGGTAAACTGTTTTACTTAGGTGCAGCTTGGTAAACAGCAGTTTTAGGCAGGAAATAAATCAATACAGAAATATATTGCAGTTATTGGGAGTGCGGGTGGAATAAAAGTATTTAAAATTACTGTGATTTTAAACATGTAGCATCAGTTCCAAAAATTGAACTGGCAAAGTTGCTGTAGACCATAGCTGAGAGAAATTATTCTCGTCTAACCAAGAACAAGCCTATTTCATTCTAAGGGAACTGATAACATCTCATTCAACCTTAGCAAGGGTGGAAATTCCTTGTTTGTTACTATTAGATGAGGACTGGTATTACTTTGGGCAGGCAAAGAGCTGCTAATTTTTTGCATGGATGAGTTAAATGTGTTTTTGAGATGAATAGAGGTCCGTATTTATTATCACCTCTTTTGTGTGTGTGTGTGGGGAGGGGAGGAGGGGAGATTCAAAAACATGTCATATCAGCAAACATCAAGTGGTTATGACTAAACTTGCTTCCCACATACTTTCTCGTGGCTTATAGGTATAATGGCTGCAGAGCAAAACAATGTTTATGGTAAGCCACTATCATATTATTTCAGCTGACTTTCTAATTTGCTTCTGGAGGGCAAAATAAAAGGCATTGTTTGGACCTAATGGTTAATAGATATCAGCACCTGTGTTACAAACCAGAGAAATACAGATCTACATTCATTCTATTGTTGCTTAATGAAGTTATGCAGTTGACAAAGCATCTTTTCAACAGAAGACACATAGGGCAAAAAGTACTTTTTATATGTGTTTACACTGAATCTCAAAAAATGCTCTTATGCTCTATAATGAAACTGTTGTTTCCCCTGCATATGGCATTCCAATGAAGATTGAAAAATACTTGTACGATTTAAATGAAAAGTAACATCTTTCTCTCTTTGAGAATAATGCAAAATGAATGTTTGGAAGGTTGTACCATAAAAGGGATGCATAAATGTTTTCAAGAGATAACAGTGATGGATGCACACACAGAATACATTTAAACCATACATGGTATAATAGAACAAGGCAATGCTTTCCTTTTTATTAATTTTTGTAGCTACAAACCCTGAAAAGATTGGATGCACTATTTTATGTGAACCTAAAAAGAACTCAGGAGAGACAACCTTAATAGGAAGTCATTACATTTTGCCTTTACAAAAAACAAACAAAAAACCTTTGTTGAACCCGTGGGTTCTTTTTATGGGGATACTATTGTCCAAAAATATTCTTTACGATTGTTAGCATAATTCTACAGTAAATGCTTAGCTATAGGGTTCCACCAATAGCCTTGAAGTGATGACGAGTATGCCATGTTAGACAGTATCTTGGGAATTCTAAAATAGAACAATACTATACTGTACATGAGATTATGCTATTAGAGAAACAAATGGGACAAAATTGATTGATGAACACAAATATAGAGGCACAAGTGACAGTATAGCAATTCCAGGCTGAGGTGAAACATTCCTAAAGCTGATCAAGCAGGACAAAAAAACTAATGCCATTCTCCTTTTGTTAATACCATTGAATTGCAAGTTGAATGCATGCTTTGTCACTGTAGAACATCACAATGTTTCCAAAGCAGGGACATAAACTGTTATGCATTGCTACTGCACGTTCTCCTATCTTTCTAATTTGGATGGAATCCTACACAATTCCATTGAAATCAATGGAAGAAATGGAGCAGCAGTATCAGTGGCATTATGCCTTATATATCCTTTTTATTTACATGCTTGAAAAAATTATAACTATTCCAATACTCAAGATACTACTTTAAAATTATCTCCCGTGTGATTCATCTTTAGCCCTTTGCTTCTTCATGGCAATACACAGAAGGTGTTATCCATGAGAAGATTTGAGATATTATGATAAATGGTATCTACTTAAATATACAGACAACTCCCTGGCACCTTCCTCCACTGAGAAATGATCCATGGTCCCATATGAGCATAATTAAAAAGAATGACATAAAGAGGGACTAGAACATCCTGTTGCCAGCTTTGAACAGTAAGGATGCAATCCCATGAAAGTTTAGACAAGAAAAAAAGTCCCACAACTCCCAGCCTCCTCCAGTTAGCATGCCTGTCCAGGGAATGCTGGGAGTTGTAGGACTTTGTTTCAGTCTAATCGCACATATGATTGTTTCCTAAAGTGTAAACACATTCTGGAAGGGAATCTACATTTCTATTTTGCCTTCCACCAACACACTGTTTTGTACCAACTCTGTTTCTCACCAGACCAATTTCTAAGGGCGGGATAAGAATTTCACACATAGCTTTCCAATTTAGCATGATCACTGTGTTCAAAACCAGCACTGAATTATGCCAAAAGGTATAAGCTTCCTGGTACAAGAAGGCACCAAAATAAAACACTATGGATTGTTATTTTGGGTTAAACATTATATTTGCTTATATATAATGCAAACAGCTCTTCTAGCTCCATTAATAATCTGGTACATTTATGAGATGCTGTAAACGAATGGGAAGTATATGCATAATGATCAATACACTGCATTATGATTAAATGCCCAGCAATTGCTAGGATTCCACTTAATTTAATGAGCCTCTAAAATTGTAACGTATTACTTATCCTTACTTATGAGAATGCATCAGAGACATTGACCTCAACTTGATAAGAAAATGTTCAGTAATTTAAACTGTGCCCAGAACACATCGACACAAAGCAGTCACTGTCACAGCAAACCACCATTAATTTTAGATTTAGGTCTTAAGGACCAGCCTATGGGTTGCTAGTTCATGGTGTAGATTTGAGTCCTGTGATACATAAAAAAGGAAGTAACATTTAATTATCTCTGGCAGTCTGAAGGATTTCACAGCGCCATCCAAACTTAAAGTACATTTAAATATAACATTGGTCTCTCTGGGAGACTGTGACTCACCTTCAGTCTTAGAACTTAGAAAAGGAGCAGCTTGAGTTGAGCAGAGATCTCTCTGCTTAAAATAGTCTGTTCAATGCTGGGTTGCTTACACCAAAGGGCATGTGTTTCAGCTTCAACCACATGGTGATCCAATTTCTTTGAATAACCCATTCTCTGGGTTTCTGGGCTGCTGAAACAAAAGCATTCCAGGCCTGAAGGCAACCTTATCTGATTCTTTTGTAAAGCCGGTATAATTTGGTGTCCCAAGTTGAATAATTGGACTGAGGTAGACAGGACTTTTCCATCTCTTCTAGACCTAGAGTGCTGAAGTTGTTTCCTGCCATGTTAGTTTTCCAGATAGGGTTCCTATTGTAAAGCCCGAATCATAAACATAATCCTGCCAATAATAATGGAAATAGTTTGCTTTTGCTTAAATTATGTTTCCAGTCATCCAACATAGTTTTTAAGATTCCAGCTTAACATGGAGGGAAAATACAATGATAAACTGGTGACAAAAATGGCCATAGACCAATTTGTACAGTCCAGCACAGAGGGAGTATGGCCAAATCGGACCATTTCAGGTTCTCCACATTTCCTATTTTCCCCAATCTTAAATCCAGTTTTCCTGCATGTTGAGCTGTTGTTTTTTAAAAGGCTGCAGGAACATTCATAAGCATTTTGTGTACATTTCTCTAAGCACATGCATTTTTATCTAACACACACATTTTTGCTGGCAATTTTGCAAAAATAATTTAGGAAATTATTTAGCATTACCTTATTTAGTACTATTTCCCTGATATGCACATTCTTTTATACACTTTTGACTGTAGAACTACATTGGAAAATTTGGGAGATATGCAAATTTGAAGGATATCTTCAGTTTTGGCTTGCATAGTGGTTGAAAATTGTGAAACTAGGCAAGTTTGCCACCTAGTTCAGCACCCAACTACGATGGGAGTATGGATCAAACCAGTTTTATGAAATATATGTTAGGGCTGGTGGAAAACAGAGCTGATAGTTTGAGTTCTGCATGCTGAACTTATAACTAGGAGATCCATATATGCATCACAGAAACTTTTTACTATAATCTAAGCATTCATGAACCTGAACCACTGGCAGTGCCAGTCCTGACTTCTGTCCTGTTGTACCTTATTAAAATATTTTAAAACATCCAAAGAAACTCTTGATTCTATTTCATTATGACTGCACAAATCACCAGCAGTAGAATTCTTAGTTTCCATTACCATGGGAGGTAGTTAATATGAAGAATGGATATTTCAAATACAGTGAGAAAATTGGATTGAAAGGATATTACAAAAGTAAATGCTAAAAAAGAGTACTCTGTGGCCAGGTTACAGGTCGTTGCACTCAAGAATATTTCTAAAACATTCACTTAGAATTTTTCATGTTACTCTAAAACCATGATTTTGGCATATGAGACCAGCTCAGGAGAATGAAGATCTAAAACCCTGTATGTAAAGGAGAACATCATATCATATTACTTATATCCTATAAAAATGTTTCCATTCATTTTAAAGAGAGATATTTTCTGAAGGTATGAAGAATTTGTAGACATCAGCTTTCACAGGGAATTTCTTGTGAGTGATGGATAAGATGGAACAGGAAAGATCAGCCTACGTTCCTCACATTTCCACGTGGTAGAGGACAGAATGCAGATGAAAGATCACCAGCCATTGTCTATCTTGTTGCCAGGACTAGAATTCTCCTTACAAGAAACACACTTTCTATGAGAAAATGTTTCTCAAGATTAGTATCGTTTTCCTCCAGATCTTGCACAAGATTTCCTTCATGTTTTCCTTCCTAGATAAGCTAGGAAGTATAACAGAAATATGACCAAACCCAACTGGACTTGTTACTGTAAGTATGCATCCACTAATCCAGCATGACATGGTTCTCTAGGGGTTAGATCACAACATCATTTGCAACTGGACACTGGAAACTTGTCTGCCACAATCCGGAAAATAGTGACAGTCCACAACCACTTGTTCTTGCATTTGGTATCTCTCTACCTCTCTGCTCGAATTTTGTATCTAAGAACAAAGTAGGCAACGAGGCGTAAGGAGATGAAGAAAATTCCAAGCACAATAAAATCTAAGTAAAGTTTAGCATTTTCTACATCCAACTCTTTGAGGATAGCTTCTGATTTTTGAAAATGGCAAGTATCATCTTTGTCGCAGTGAAGATCTTCTCGATCCAAACCATAGATGGAAAGAATAACTCCTTCAAATCCATATCTATAGGGAAGAATAATTTGCAAGGTCAAAGTGAAAGCAGAATGAAGAATAACTGCATCAGCACCCTCCTGCCCAAGTATACACAGACATGCTGCCTCTGATGCAGCAGGAATATGCCCAGTCATCCTTTAAAGCCACCCAAATTGGTGGCCATCAGTATTATTCATGGAAGTGAATCCCATAATTTAACCTATGTGCATTCTGAAAGAGCATTTTCTTTTATCTGCTCTCAGTCTCATGCCAATCAGCTTCATATGATGGCTGTAGCTTGTAGCATTATGAGAGAGGGGAAACTGCCTCCTTACCCACTTTCTCCATGTACCTCTATGCACCTCAATCATGTCTCTGCTTGCTTGTCTTTTTAATAAGTTAAACAGTACCAGTTATTATAACTTTCCTTAGAGAAAGTTCTCCTGACCCTTGGTGATTTTAGTTGTCCTTTTCTCCACTTTTCCCAACTCCACAATATCTATTCTTAGATGAGTAACCTGAACTGTACACAACATTCTAAGTAAAGCCACGCTATAGTTTTGTATAAAGACAGAATGATATTGACAGTTTGATTTTCTATGCCTTTCCTAATTGTGCCTACCATGGGAGTTTGCCTGCTTTCACAGAAACCACACATTGGGTCAACATTTTCATTGAACTATCCCCTGCAACCCAAAGATACTGCTCTTGGTCAGTCATCCCAGCTCAGGTCCCATCAGTATACACTTGAAGCTGGAGTTGTTTGCTCTAATGTGTATTACTTTAAATTTGCTTATACTGAAACACATTTACCATTTTGATGCCCATTCTAACTATTTGAAGAGAACCTCCCGGAGTTCCTCTAAATCACATCTTTGTTTTCTCCAGGGACATTTGGTTGGCACCAACCTCAGGCATCAGGTAACTCTTTTTCCTGTTCTGACAGGCATTTGGCTAATTTAATTTGTGTTTCACTGTTGACTTCATTTAACTGATTGATGGTGTTTTAATTGTTTGGTTGTATTTGGTCTATGTTGTGGGTATGATTCTGTATTATCTTTTATCACCTTGTATAACATTTTATTAATTTGATTGCTTTTATCTATTTTACTGATTGTACTTTTATTAGCTGCTTTAGCATTTTGTAAGCTGCCCAAAGAACCCTCAGGTTATGGAGTGGCATAGAAGTAAAATAAAATAAATAAATAAACTTCACAATTTATAAATAGCAAAGTCTTTGCACAGTTATATGTGAAAGACCAAGAAACATCTTTCCAGTTTACCTGACATAAGAGATGTAGGACATCCACTGGAGGTACGTTGGAATGGTATCAAAGCTGACAAAGAATCCTGAGAAGAGGAGAACTGGTATGGCCGTAACAGGACCTACAAACGTTGCCACCTTTAAAAAAAGTCAAGGAAAAAATATTAAAAAACAAAAGCGGAAACAGGGGTCAGACTTCTTTCTGAAACATTTTTGCTGAAAGATTTCTCGGTGCCAGGGGTATTTGTTGGACAACAGCTAGCATGATGAAAAATGTCAGAAAAGATGGGTGCTATCACAACAAGCCAAAGCAAAGACCTGGAGCGAGGTGGATGCTGCCCCGATCAGAAGTCCCAGTGACTGAGCCACAAGTGAGGTCATCGTTCCCAGAGCCGCAAACAGGACAAATCGTAGTGCGTCAGAGGGTTGTGCGGTCATCCAGTATACAATGCTGCAGTAAGCCACAGGAAACATGATCTGCAAGAAAGAAACAAGTTTGGATGTTGTTTATACATTTCTTTTTGACGTCATAAATTTATGTCAAAATCGGAAGACGTTATACTCTCTGAAGTAAGAGAGTTGTCCCTGACTCATGACAACCCTATGAATGACCGCCTTTCAAAATGCCCCATCCGTCACAGCTGTGCTCAGTTCTTGTGAGCTCAAGGCTGTCACATCTCCATCCATTTCATAGTTGGTCTTCCCCTACTTCTGCTTTCCTTAGCCTGTTTGTCTTCTTCCGTGAGTCTTTCCTTCTCATGGTGTGTCTATACTATGACAGCTTCCGTTTTGCCGTTTCTGCTTCCAGAGAGTGTTCTGGCTAGGACCCACTTGCTTGCCTTTCTGGGATAAGTCTGTGGTATTCATAAAGCGCTCTTCCAGCACCATGTTTTGAATGCATCGATTTTCTTCCTGTCAAGCTATCTTCACTGTCCAGCTTTCACACCTACATGTAGTGACTGGGAATATTAGAATGATCTTGGCCTTGGTCTACACTGAAATGTCCTTACATTTGATGATCTTGTTTATCTCCTTCATTGCATATTACACTAACTTTTTATTCGATAATAAAAGGTTCTATTGGCCACGAAACTCACTGGGTGACTGCTTCTCAGCCTAACCTAATTCAAAGGATTGTTGTGATGATAAAATATACAAGGGCAGGACAAGGATCATATATGTTGCTTTGGGCTCCTTAGAGAAAAAGGCAGGGTAAAGACATAATATCCCAGTGCTAAGTTCTGATTCTAGGCATAATTTCAGCAGTAGAACTGTGGATTTCAGGCATACAACAGAGAGATGCATAAAGGTATTCACCTGAAAAGGGACATCAGCCATCGTTTTGGCCAAGTAGTAGGCCTTCAGACTGTACCAGTAATTCAGATGCTCTCTAAGAAATACACCCATTTCCAGAGGAACTAGGATAAACAAACAAACAATCAAATTTGAAATAGATAAAAACAGATTGCATAGATTACAACATAAGTGGAAGCCCACATATGTGGCAGTGCACCATAGAGGAGGTGCTGACTCTTCCATACAATGGGCAGGAAAGTGTGTGTGAAAAGAACAGCTTCTCAGATTTCTCTCACCAAACAGAAAAAGTTCAAGGGTTGTGTCTGGGCATGCATTGTGAACAGTGTCTGGACATGCTCTTGGAAATTGATGGGATGGTTGGAAACCCCATGGCTGCTCACTGTGCTCACTCAGTTACTGGGTATGATTGGTCATACCCATTGTTCCTGTGTCTAAGTTGCTGTCGATGTTTGAATACAGACCCAGGAGAGTCACAGTCCTGCCTAGACCTTCATAGGCTTTTCTGTCTGGTTCAACACCCTGACTTATTTATTTACGTAAAACATTTGTATGAAGCCCAATTGTGCCACAGCACCTTTTAGATGCCCCCTTGTACCTCTGCTATCCCTTTCTTGCTGCATCCAGGTGCTGCTTTACCCATAAAGAATGTGCTTTGTTGGAGGATGATTGGCATGCATGCATGCATGTGCTGGTCCTCAGGATATGCCTGTATTCCATTTTTAGGAAAAGTAAGATATATGGGACTTCCAATGGCTGCAGGGGGTTCTGTTATGTGGTCTCAAGAACCCTGTCAAATAAGAACCCATAGGAGTTAAAAACAGGGAATTGCAAATGGTAAAACGGTGGTTTACATCTCTACTGCACACTGTGGCAGGTAGCAATCATTAATGTTGCTTCCCCAACTTTAATTAGAACCAAATAAATATTGTAAGGAAGCCAAGTTGAGTGCAATTCCAGGAAAAAATCTCACATATTTTGACAGCATCTCAGCCTGTGAGTTATTGTCTCCCACAAATATTGGTGTCATTTAAAATACCTTTTTCCTAGATTATTAAAATAGCACCATCATTACTCACATGTGAGAACTGTTGGCATGAGAGCAGCAAACATGAGAAACAACATGGAAAAGAAGAGGAAGCCAGAGTTGCTCAGGACCTTCTTTGCTTCATTTCCAATCCCCAAGTACAGCAATCCTATGAGTAGACCAATTCCAATATGTGATGTGATCCGTAGATGTGTGAGGACCTGGTAGGAAAGCAAAACCATGTTTGCATTATTAATACGCAAGGGCCAGGTGCCATCTTGCCCCAGTGTTGTTGAACATCTTTGTGAAGCTTCTGGAGCAGCCACTAGGCTGATGCCACCCAGTTCTGTCTCCCTGTGACTTCTGAGTCCCAGGCAAATATTAAAGGACATGTTGGGTTAGCGCGTGCTTTGACATGCTTGTATGTGGTAGCAGATACGCCATCTTTTTACTGAATAGCAAACTATGGGTCTGTTCACACAATACAAGGATGGTTAATAAACTACCACCCCATGTATACAGGTTGCATGCTTGCCCAGTTTATAAAATCACCCTTGTTGGTCATGCTTCTAATGCAATCTGAACCAGCAAGTGTGGCTTGTTGTTTTTATTTCATTTGGTTTTTTTCTCCTTAAATTAATTAATCTGATGCAATCATGTTTTCTTGTTCCATGATTGCTCATTTCGTGAGGGAGTATGGGAGGGCTAGTTAAGGGTTGAAAATAAAATAAGAAAACAAGGAGAAAGATGCATACATTTGTGGTTATGAAGGTTCAAATGAGACAATCAAGAGAAATGTAGTCCAAATGAAGATGGAGAGAAAAGATCCAGGAAACCAGCTGGACAGAGAAGAGTAGATTGTATCAATTTCACCCTGATTTATGCATATTGTAGGGATGATGGGGCTTTGTGCTCCAGAAGTGATAATCCATAATGCCTCTTTGGTTTTGTTTTTCATCTTAAAAAGTATTCAAATGAGCCTTACCGAATCCCTCATTATGGTGAGAAAAGTTCTTTTAAACAGAATGCAAAACTGAGTAACGCAGCTGGCTGAGAAACTATGACAGCCTTCCATGGAAGAAGAATCCTGAAGAAATACCAAAAAGAAAAAAGAAACACTATGCCTTCTTTCCTTAACATTGTAGCAGAAGCACCAATAAACACAGATATGGTTGTGAATCTCTGAATACAGAACCTACATTCTAGGTGAGCTCACAAATTCACCACTCAGAGAGCAAGTGGATTTGACACAGCTTGATTGGATTCAAGTGAATTGCGATTAATTCCCACTGAAATCCATGAGAAAAGCCAGGGCTATGTTCTTTGATTCTAACAAGATCTAAGTTCAGTTAAAAGGATGCAGATCCAAGATAGCCTTCTCCAATCTGGTGCCCTAGCTAGTAGCTTAGAATTATGGGGGTTGCAGCCCAACATGTCTGAAGGGCATCATGTTGGGGAGGACTGATCTAAGAACTTAAGAATCCTTCTGAATCAAGCAAATGGTCCATCAAGCCCAGCATCATCTTTCCAACAGTAGCCAGACACTTGCAACTGGGATGACCACAAGCCATAGCAAGAGGCAATAGCTGTTTCTTGCATTTAATCCCTGCCTAGCAACTAGCATTTAGAAATAGTTTGTCTCTGGACCTGGAGGTCCCATTTAGCAACCAGCATTAACAGCCTCCAACATAAATCCATGGCTATGTTCAGCCTGGCCTTGCTTTAAAACCACACAAGGCTGTGTCCATTAATGGATGGTGTGGATGCATTCCAAAGATGGACATCACTGTGTGGAGAAGTGCATTCTTAGTCTATCTGAACCCTTAATTTCCCTTTTGAGAAGTAATTTAAAGCACTCTGAATAAATATTTCTTATGATCTCAGAACACAGCTGAATTTTAGATTTAACATTTAGCTTTTAAAATCCAGTGCTGTCGGGCACTTATGAACTTATAGGTGCTTTAAAAACCACATAAGTATTAATTCTTGTTTACTCATTGTATGAAGCAAATGCTAAACCAGAGAAGGGGCCATGTTGCCTTCCTGATGCTTTAGTGCAACACTCCGCAATCCCAGCTAGGCTGGCCAGGGCTGGGTGGTTCTCCAAAATCTGAAAAACCACATATGCCAAATTTAATTCTTTTATACCCTAATGTACTGCCTAAAACTCCTAAATTTGCTTACTGAAGCAATCAAATTAGCAGAATGTCATTTTAAATGTTTTCAAGCAAATGCAAGTTAAGAGTTTTCCTAAGAGTCTTGGCTCTGTGTAGAATTCTAAAAAAATCATATTTCTAGGTGGGCTTTAATCCTCAAGCTTCCAGAATGCTTGTTAAACCTGCTTGTTTCAATGGTGGCAACACTGATGGGAAATTGCATCTCTGAGCAATGTTTCTGGTTCATGTAAGGGACTTTCCCTTAAATAAGTTGTTCAGAGGACTACAGCAATTAGCTTGTTTGCCCTTTCTCAGCCTCCTTCTCATTTCAGAAATGGTTTTCGGCTGAATTACCTCCTCAGATGGTTTGTGCCATAGGAAAGGGTTAGGTTCACTTTCTCCTCCAGAGTCTCTCTTGTAACTTGCATCACACATTCCTTCTTGGACTGCTCTCACTAGCCGACTGTTCTGGTCTCCGTATTCACCAGAGGCCACCTCCATCACTAAAGAGACAGAAGAAAACTATGTAACCTGTCTCCATGCAAACAATTCACAGGAGAAGCAAAGGTCAGATGCATGAAACATTGTTCAAAGTTGGTTGGTGTGGAAATATATACAGGGTGGGGGATTTGGTACAGTGCCAAATTGTCTAGAAGTGCAAAGGATAGCAATAACTAGTAAGGATATAAGATACTCTCAGTTTTGATGTCTCTCCATTTTGCATTTTCCCAGTCCCAAATTCTGTTAATCCTGAATGTTGATAAATTCCTTTTAAATTCACAAGAAAATTCAGAAGCATTTTATGCACATTTTCCCCGATACATACATTCTGTATGTGTCTCTGTCTAATGTACATATTTTGCTAGCAATTTTCCTTCTAGAATGTGTTACACTTCTCCAATTTTTGTATGCAATTGTTTTTAATTGTATATAATTGGAATTTCCTAATGTACAATACAATTTCATAGCCACCAATTTTAAGAGGTTTAAAATAATAAAACATTTCCAGAATGGAAGTAAGAGAGTACACTCATTCTGTTTAAACTTGCAGTTCTACAATTACTAGAGCTAAAAATAAAATTATTTTCATAAGAACTCAGTAATATCTCAAGATGTACAATCCCATTTCACAACCATCAGTGCAGTCTCAATCACTACTTCCCACCATAGTAAAAACAGCTAAAATTTAAATGAGCAGATGGGCACAGATTACTAGATTATGGTTGTATGTTTTTATTCCACCTGTAAGCCTTCTTAAGGCAGAATTTGTAACACAGAATTTTCATTTCAATAACAAAAACAAAAAATTATGCACACATACAAGCTAGTTTGCTCTCCAGATAGAAATTCTTAATAATCAAGTTTATTAACAAGATCAGCCACTAGGTTGTGAGATTCAAGTGTGACTAAACTTTTTGGTCCTCAGGAGTGACACAGAAAGGGGAATTTGAGAAAACACAGCTTCTTTTAGGGGGAAGTTTCACTTGTCCAAATGCTTATTATTAATCAAGCAAAACACCTTTATCCTTTCTTGAATTCAGTAACCATATCTACCACTAGAGGGTATGTGTTAGCAACAAAAGGATATCATTTCATGGCTGACATATATGAAAAGAATAAATTTAAATTTTGATCTGATGAGCTTAGGAGTGGGGCGGGATGGTAGGACCAAGAGATGATTTTGAGAGGAGAATCTCTTCTATTTGACTCACCAAAATCTGCTGGATTGTGGTATGTTGGACAATTTAAACCCAAATCTCTCAAGTAGGGGACCAAGTTTAACACTTTGCCACGATAAATGCACTGCCCTTGGCTCAGGACATAGAGCTGAAACAAAGAAAAAAGAGGAGGAACGCTCCCGATCAACTACAGAATTATGCCATACAACCCTATTCAGGAAACTGTGGTCTGACTTGGACAACGTAGCAAGATTGCTTGCTAAGATTTGTTAGTAAACACCAGTAAGTAATAGGATTTACCATGAATAAATGAACCCTGGACTGTATCCTTAAATTCTGGAAAACCCTTGAAGGGTTTGTATCTACTAAACCACCTCTTCAAACACCATGGAAAAGAGCCTTATATCAGCCTTACATATATTCTCTGAAGACCTATTCTCTGATACATAATGTAAAGAAAATGTAAACGATTCTAAACATGAACATATTGCTTGGTATGCACTACTATACCTCTCCTAGCATACCTGACACTGATTCCATTATTCATATCATCTTGAACTCGCATCATATTTGGACTCTTGCTAATGCTTCCAATCCTTCCACAACTTCATATCTATAATGCTTGGCATCTCCTGTTTACTATAGGTATTTTTTATTGCCAACTCAATTTACATATGTTGAATCAGGCTCGTCTGAAACTGCCTGGATTTTGTATTTCATTAGAGAAAATGTATACCTGGACTAGTTCAGAGATCTAAAATATTTAATGTTAAAAGTGTCTTATCCCTGGAGCATATTTGCTCAGGAATTAACTAAATATAAGGAGAATGTCTGCAACTGAACTCCAACACCTGAAGGAAACACAAAGGAGAAGGATATGTCAAGATGAAAAGGCATCTTGGGGGGATTAATTTAGGAAGTCTGTGCTTGTCTGTGGGGGAGGGGGAGGCACTTCACCATCCCAGGAGCCCTGTGCTGCTTTTCTTTCATGTTTTCAGTGTTTTCACTACAACATGCTAATGATTTGGAGAGGATAAGCAGCAAGCAGAAGATGGGTTAACCTTCCCCCTCCTGGTGTTCTGCTCTACACCAGCCCTGCCTTCTCTAAGGAGTTCGATTATTTTGTGGTTTAGTCACACCCATCTGCCGATTCTGTTTAACGGGGACTTTATGAGCCATCCCCAGTTGCACTGCTTGGAAGCATTCTTTGAGTGATTGTGGTGACTGAAGAAGGCACAACCACGATCACAAAAAATTACCTTTGGGTGGGTCAGCTGCCACATTAGGTGTGCCATGTGAATGCATGGCTAGAATTAGTCAGGATGCATCACAGAAAAAGGTCTATGCGAAAGAAAGACCCTACAGCCTTCTCCCTGATATGTAAGATTAGCACATAGTGACATTTTTTAACTATTCCATCTCCCCAGCATGCATCTTTGGGTATCAAAGCCCTGTGAGAAGAATCTGAGTGCCCTTCAGAGCTTGAACCAGCCTTAAGACTTCTGATAGAAACATTTCTGCAGTTACTCCTAAACTTTTGATTTTCCTTCCTCTGAAGATTCAAAGTACTCCATGTTGGCAATGTGTAAATGTTCTAATTTTGCAAAGCTTTCTGAAAATACATTTCAATGCCTGTGCCTTTATTCATTCACTCCTCCCCAAGATATATCCATGATGGAAGCCAGCCAACATCTAAGAAGAACATCACTGAAAATACATGGAGAAGTTTAATGCAGGAAGGGAAAGAGGACCAAAATATACTTTCACTATGACCTTCTAAAGCTAACAATTTTGTTAATTAATAGATTAATGAAATGAATTAATGAAAATGAAATTTCAGATACAGCGCTTTGCTCAAGGATGCTTGAGCCAATTTGGGGGGTGGGTATTATACATCCAGGTATGCACCCCCCCCCCCAACACACACCCATACAAATCCAAGCAGTACCTGGTCAAAGAGCTCAAAGAGTTTGGCACTGGGCTGATGTATTGTACAGATGATGGACCGGCCACCCTGTGCTAAAGCTTTCATCAGAGATACAACTTGAAAGCAAGATGCACTGTCCAGGCCACTGAAAGAGAGTGAGAGTAGTTCATCAGGTATGTTTTCCCACAGACTCATGTTTAAAATGGGTTTTGGAATAAACCGAGCAGGAACTCTGCAATTCCACTGAGACTTGCATGGACATTCCCAGTGGGCTTTGCATAGCATCACCACCAGCTAGTCCAGCTTATTCACTTTTTAATCAGTCATTAGGTAAGGTTATTCTTCTGCTCCATTATGCCAAAATGCATTCTATTCCTTAAAGTACTCTTCTCTCTCCCTTCCTCCTTCCCTTTCCCACTGTGTCTCACTGTACAGTTATTTGTCTGTAAAATATGTTTTACAGGCTACAGCTGTGCACACCAAGCTGAAAGGTGGAGACAAGGCACAGATTATCTCTCTAGAAGATTGCCACACACACACACGTGCGCCCACACAGCCCCAGTGTAAGATGGCGGGAGGTGCCTGCACTTTCCCAGGAGTGCCTCCTTCACACTTCAAAGTCAATGACTTTCAACAGCAGCTCCTGTTCTCTGGTATTTTTGGTCCTAACAAAGAATAGTACATCTCATGGTGCATATCAGTACAATCAGCCATCTTTATTTGGATCACAAATTACCTGGTAGGCTCATCAAAAAACATAACTGGAGGGTTGTTCACCAGCTCCAAAGCAATAGCAAGACGCTTCCTCTGCCCTCCCGAAAGACTTCCAGTTCGGGTATTGGCACAGGGCAGCAAGCCTAGAGCTGTCAAGATCTCTTTTACCTGGAACAACATAACAGGCATATCATTGTAAGCTGTCCTGGGACATTTTTATTTGTGTAGAACAGGGTAGAAATATTATAAATAAATAAATAAATAAATAAATAAATAAATAAATAAATAAAGATCACGTGCTATTCCTAAAAGCACTGCTCATATTTCGTTCACTACAATACAAATGTGATGTTTGAGGCATATTTGGCTCTGTCCTGAGATGTTCAGCTTCTCAATATTAATATTAGCCATGAAGAAAAACTGGTGAATAGGTGGGCAGGAGTTACACCCTCTACACAGCTACCAAATTTGCTGTTGTGGTGGCAAAAATTGTGGTGATTTTCCAGGGAACCAAGATGTGCAGAGAACACATCCCTTGTCTGCTAACAGAATTGCACTCCCAGCTGCCTACAAAAAATCGAAATTCTCATTAGAATGGTCTACGAGGCATGTCTTGTTTAGCAGCAAATCACTGTGCTTTTGCCATGGTGGTTGCAGAGGGACAGCAGCAAATTCAGTGGAGTAGCTCTTCATGGGTTCCCAGTGTGCAACATGCCTTCTGATCCCCAGAAGCTGCTCACTTCTACAGAAAAGACTCTGAAATGGTATTTTTGCTATTAGGGAAGAATATTTGCAGGAGCTTCTTTCGCTCACACAAGTCCAGGACACCCTTCTAATGCTTTTAAGCCGTATTCACAAACTGTTTTAGTGTTCTTTCAGTGCACATTTATGCTTTTGATTTTCTTGCGAGAGGACATGACTAACCAGTTCTCTTTAAAGAAGGCTGGCAATCTATTCTTTTGGCCATGCAAACAGTTTCACAGTAAGGCTCACTTCCCAGAGTGCTTTGATCTACCACAGAGAGAAAACATACTTCCTGTCTAGCTGGTAGAGAAAAAATTGATACCTCAAGTTTTAAGGAGTTATTTTTAACTAGCAATGTTGTGATAAAATTGGACATAAATGTTCAATAAAGTTTTTCCTCAATGCCTTCTTTTCCCAGGGAGACCTATGCTTTAAAATCACCCAATGCTGTAACTCAATTTGATTCCCACTTTCCCGGAAGTAAGCCCCATTTGGCCCAATAGGACTTTCTTCTCCATGCATACATTTAGGATTGTACTCTTAATTCTCCCATGCACTACTGTACATTCTACATTTTAACTCCGACAAACATTTATGATGCCACCCACTCAAGGTCAAAACCCAAATTGCAAATCTAGTTAAGAATACAATATCCAATTGTTTAATAAAGCATCTTCGTCATTGTCTGAGCACTTCTGTGAATGCTTTAATTAACCATATTTGCCCTTCCCCATCCCTATTCTTCTGTTAAGTGACTTTAACCTGCTGACTGCCAATACTATAAATAGCATGGAAACAAGCATTGGGAGTCTACTTTTCCCCCAGTTCTATGTATTCTGTGAGTGGATGGTCTGGAAATAATCAGGGTAGGCAGCCAAGGGTGATCATGCATCCTCTTCTGTAGAGGACAGTCCTCTCTTTGAAGTGCAAGTTTCAAATCTGTGCACAGCACAAATGTCCCACAAATGTTTCTAAATACATTAGTTTCAGTTATAAACATGTTAGATACATGTTTCCTCCCTTACAATAAAAAGGTGCCAAGTTTCAGCTTGTTCTTTACAATTACATAGAAAAGCCTCAACCTACGCCAAATTTATCCCTGAGTAAAAACATATACATACCATTTCTCTCCTGCCTTCATCCTTTTCTTGCAGTTTCAGGTGAGCAGAAACCTGCAATATTAGCATACATATGATCCTTGTTAGGAGCAGTCGTCTTTGGAGATTGCGTCATGCTATGAATCTACATTTTATTCACACGATATACGATTATTGCAGTGAATATGGCTGATCACTATAACAGATATAAAATGAGGCATTATTCTGCAGAGAACAGCATTTTTAGCAGATGAATTCATAGCAACAAGGTATAGTGGAGGCTAGGCTGAATATCTACTGGAGTAACTTAATCGATAGAAACTAAAGTTGTTGGTACAAAGCTACATTGAAATCTCTTCTTACGTAAGACAGTGACAAATTTTGGAAGGAAGTCAAAAGGGTTTCTATAGTACCAAAACTGAAAAATTAGTCAGGGCAGTCCACATATTCCTAGGATGTTACCCGGTTTCAGTTAAGTGAACTTTGAAGCATATATGAGGGTTGTTCATCAGCTCAAGCTTTTGAGAAATACTGAAATCAGTATGACTAGTCAAATGTCTCAAGGATGTTCCACTTTTCTCCAGTTGTGGGGAAACACACAGCTATAGTCATGTGTCCTCTTTTATGGAGGGCAGTGCTTTACTTTGAAAATGTCCTCTATTTGAAGGGCTGAAGTGCAATTCCAGTCTAAAGATATAAGAAGCTTTCCAACGAAAAACTAAGCAAGAGTTTTTGCTTGAGCAAGCCCCACAGGTCACCTGGACACACTGTGGTGAGAGGGCCTGTGTTTCTCTCCAAACTGTAATAATTATTTCTAAATTTGCATCTATATGCATAAATGAGGCTATCCAAATGTTTATCCTCATCTGTCCTCTTTCTGGTCCTGCATCTCCTCCTCTTTGCAATTCATTAGTGGCCACCTAGGTTGCAACTAACTGACAAATATTAATATGTTGATTTATTTCTATATACAGAGAGCGTTTTAAGGCCCTGGGTGGATACTGACCAAATTTTCTAAAGAATAGTACCAAGTTGCATAGCACACTGCATTTTGAAAACATAGTTTAATGGATGAACACTAAAATCTCTCTTCCGGAGCTCTAAGCACTTGTTCCCAAGTGTACCTGACTGGCATGTTCAGAAGGCATGAGTGGCATTGCCCTCTAGGCAACTGACTGGGTGGCATGAACATAGCACAGCAGGGCTACTAGGCTGCCAGTGACTCGCAAGTTAATGCTTCATCTCAACAGATCAGCAGGCATCTCACTTGCTCCTCTTCCCCCAGCACCCCTCTAGGATCTTGCCATAAGCCTACATTAAATAAATAAATACTGAGAAGTAATGGAATTGAACACATCTTGAAATATTCAAGAGGACATTTTTATCTCTACATTAATCCTCCAAAGTCAAGCAAATGCTTCCTTTAGACAGCTATAACTGATCACCCTTGTGATTATCATAAGGGATATGTATGACAACAACATGAGCAGCTTTCTTTTGAGCCTGCTGCCCACAGCAAAGCAAGACATTCCAGAGATGCTGACCCTTGTAGCCAAAGGCTTGGCAGGTCTAAACAGAATTGGCAGGATGACTTCCCAGACAGCTTGGACAACAAGCAAATCTAGCTGCGCCTGTTCAGTTGCGCTGCTTCGGTGCCATGCCAGAAAAGAGTTGACTTTGCCTTCACGTCCAGTGCTTGCTTTTGAAAAACATGCAGCCTTTCTATCAGGAAATAAAGGAAGGCAGAGGAAGTTTTATTTTAGTGGGTCCCCAGGACAGAAATGCCAGAAGGGGACAACGGACAACACAGATCCAAACCGAATATCATTAACAGAGACCCACAGCCAAACTGCAGAACCACGGGGCCAGGAAGGGCCTTCCTTTACTGCAACCCTTTGCCACTGACAAACACCTTCTTTTTAGTTGCCCCACATATGTGAAGTCCATGCAAGGTCAGCCTGCAGGCTTCTTTTTTCAGTAGGCATTTAAAAGGAAACCTACAGCTTCAATTATTAATTTACTGCTCAGTTTTAAATTTTGCAATATTCAATGTTGAATCACCATTTTACTATTGTTGTTGTTGTTGTATTGTTTTTGCTTCCTTGTTGTGTGCTTGCAAGCCACCCCACGGGGATTGGCCAGTTGGAGGGGTATACAAATCCAACGAATAAATAAAATATTAAATAACCACATATTGCACATACATTTGATTGTTAAGATTCTCATGTATTCATTTGACACATTGTAGTTTTGACTCTTGCGTGCCATGTTGCAAGTAATTCCCTGGCACAGAAGTGAATCGTGGAGGGATCAGGCCCTTCACAATATTAAATGAAACCCCAGGAACTATACATTATTGCTTCTGCACATACTCCTCTGGATCCTCTGCATGAACGGGACCCTGCCTCACTTTGATATATATGGCAAACCTCTCCACCAATGCACCAAAGCAAGACCAGATGGGTCAGCTCTACAGACCATTTCACAGTCTTTACCGCAATTAATCCTTTTCATGGGTATATCAATGTAAAACAGCACACGATTGCTTTGTACAATGCAAAGCACTCCTAAGAAATTATAATCAATGAAGAATAGCAGCTCAATTCAGGCAGATATGTATCTATGTATTTATTTTTAATTTACCATCATGGCTTCTTGGACAGTAAGGTGCGGAAGCAGCATGTCATCTTGCATAATGTAACAGGACACTTTGCGGAAAGAGCGCAGGTCACGTGGTTGTCCATTTATGAGAATCTCTCCCTTCATCCCAGTCTCTCTGAAATTAGTCAAGAAAAGAAATAGGCTAGAATTTCCCTTTACAGCCTTTAGGCTAGACAGAACCAAGGCTTGCTTAGCGGTTTTCCCCATTTCCAGCCTTTTTCATGTCCTACAGGTATGTGAGTTAATCGTTTCTGTATGTACAGAATGATGTACAAAAGTATGCATGATGTACAAAATTATTATTACCAATGCATCTAACCAAACCATTGCCAGGTTGTTTGGAAAATCACAAGATCATAGATGAGTCCTTTGTCCACAACAATGCAATTTGCAAACCAGCCCTCATAATGGTGGCAGTGTATTTATTCTAGCATCTCTGGAGTTCTCTCAGTAATACAGCACCTTGATTGAAAATCTTTAAGCCCCTAAAACTAAATTGTACTTAATGTAGAATTTTAACCAGGGAATTCAGTAAGAATCATCTCCAGCAACTGGCTTGAGTGATATTGGTGCTGAATAGAGTCTGGGGAACCGAGCTGGGAAAGACTGATGGATTCCCACCCCCAGACTGGATTCATCACACATCATGAGCTCCAACTCTGTGTTGTTTATTGTGATATCTGTACCAAGAATTCTAGGTTGTTGGGGAAAGATCAAGCCATGCATTAATCTATGTTATGATATGCAAGGTCAGTACAGAAGCCTATCCTGGTACTCTGATTTGAGTTGTACAGATCAAAACATTAGGTATGAACAAAACACACCCATTGTTAATTGGCCTTTTTGATCACTAACCTATAACCTGCTAGAAGGTTCATGAGTGTTGACTTCCCAGCTCCAGATGGACCCATAATTGCCACAAGTTCTCCACTGCTGAACTTTCCTGAAATTCCTTTCAACAGGGTCTTGAATCCTGAAAAAAACAGGGGAAAGTTTAATATTCAGAAATTCCATGTTTCCTAGAAGTTCAAACATACTAGAATTTGGAATAGCTCCAACCCTGGTTTTACTTAGGGCTGGGGAATGCTGGCTGTTTAGGGATTTTCTCAGTCTAAATGTGCAAAGAATTGCACCTTTAAGTTCTTGCTTTCACTCTTGTTCCACAAGCTATACCTGATCAAGCAATCAGGAAAGGTTCTGGTAGGTTTCAGTTTAAATACTTGTTGTTACCGGGAGCTTCTGGGTGGAAGAACATTGCACTACCAAGCAAAATGCATCTATCTTTTCCTCCTTGATGGATTTTCTACGCTTCTTCATGTACCCAAATATGCAATCTCTTCGAGAAATTAAGCAGTGCTTACTTGTGCTGGGGTTCTAACTCATTGGAACCTCCAATTGGCCGTAAAGCATGCTTATTTGTACAAACAAATCTAAACCTTAAAATTCGTAACTGAAACTTAAATAAAGAAGGCTATTTTTAAAAAGCAAAAAACAAAAACACAACTGTACCCTAGAGAGATCCGAGAAATGAAAATATCTGTATCAAGCTGAAGCCGAATTGCCATGGAAACTGTTAACAGGGGCACACTCTAGGCTAACAAGATTTCCACTATAAATTGTTTGATTTACAACTGCTACTTAGCAATTAGAAAAGGGTTTTTGGTGGATTCCCCCATGCCCTTGAACTGGTCGGAACATACATAAAACCTTGTATCTTGTACACATCCCTTTGCTTATGTTAAATGTCAACATGCATTGAGCATGGCTTGACTATGTACTTGTAACCTTTTCATTAAATGGCAGAAGCTATTCCAGTCTCAAACTTCATTCCAAAGCAGAAATTCAAGAAAATTGACTGGCTGCTTGACAGAAGAAAAGTCTTCCTATCCAGTCTTGATGAAAGATATGAGACAGGGTGGCTCCTTATGAATCATAAGAAAAGAAGGATCATGCAACTAAAAGAGGACAAAAGATGACATGAATTTGCATAATATTTGCATATGCTAATTCATATGCATAGGTGAAAGTTTGGAAATAATTATTATAATTTAAGTAGAAATGCAGTACATCTGACCATAGTGTGGAAGACTATGGCAAGGTGACCCATGTGCCTGACAGTCCAGCCTGTTGCCCTTGCGCTAGCTATTGAGGGGCAACTGCTTTCATGGTCTTTTATCTAGAATCTAGAATCACAACACAGAGTCATTTCCTATCCACACCATTTGCAAAAATACCCACTTGTATACTGCTAAGACCTAACAGTAAAGCATTTTCCCAGTTTTGTCCTGAAATGTATTTTAAAGACTAGGCATAACTGCCACTATGAACGAGCATTTAATTTGAACGCTGACAGAGATATCTTTCTCTAAGCAAGAAGAATATTTGTTAGACTATAACATGGAGCTATTGTTCAGACAACTTCCTTGGTTTGGCAGAAGTGAATTTATGGGCAGAAAAAAAAATCAATCTTTATGATGCAGTCACAGACCCAACCCCCCGCCCCCCACACACCCATGAAATTTGGATCCAAGAGCTAATATATTTGAAAGCTTTGTAAAACCAACAGAACCATTTTCTGTGCCAAAGACCACTGAATATTCTGAACCCGAGTTGCAATGTGCTGATATTCTGAAGCTCAAGGCCCGTCCCCACCCCTCCCCTATTGCAGCCTGTAGGGAAAGATCTGCACCCGCTGCTCCCCAAGGCTGCAAACGCATGTTGGAGAAGGAAAAAGGGGCCATGAAGCGGAGCAGGATGTGGGGCTGAGAACATGCCGATTCCCACAGGAGTCTTAATCTTCACTCTCCCTCCCTGGGGCTTCCTCTAGATGGCAAAATAACAGCTATCTAAATTAAAATCAGGGTGCTGCCCCCACAACACCTTCTTCAGGGCAAAAGATGAATGTAAGTTTATGAGTTCAGAGCCTGATGTGCACTGGTGAAAGGGCAAAAGGATTGCACCCTGCACATGTTCTGCACTGCCACTTTAATGAGCATGTTGCTAAATCTCCACAAATCATGCCCATCATACATAGCACCAGTTAGCTGCATTATTTTTCTTTTTAAGAGGGAAGGAAACAGAATCAATTATACAGCTGGAATTTGTGAGTTACAGTTTCAGGCTACTAATATTACGGAACACAATCACATGTGTTACGTTTTCTGAAAATGGGTGAAAGGTCTTTTTGCTTATGAAAGTCAACCAAGCAGAGATGAATTTACTATGTAATACCAGCATTGTGCCCTTTAAAATCCCAAATCAAGGATTAACGATATTCAGGGACATAAATAAAGTCTTTCTGTTACAGAACATTGAGGCTAATCTTGCTTAGAACTGTTGACCGATTCATTCTATATTAGCACCTCATCCTTTCTGCGACTATACATTTGGAAACTCACGCACTTCTGAATTAATTTCTGGGTAACAAATTGGCTGAGCTCAGGAATAAACCATTTATCATGGCCACTGCCTTACCTCCTAAGCATTTTACCCCCTGCATTGGCAAGGACTGTTTCTTGATCTACCGAGGATCAGAGAGGACTGAGACAGTACAGAAAACTGCTGAGGTTCAAATGGGTAGGACTCCCAACTTTGGGTAGGATTCCCATCTTTGCCATGTTGATTCAGCAGAACCAACATGGCAAAGATCCTGCCTAAAGGTTACACAGTGATGATGGAAGCAAACAAAGCCTTTTCTCTACCACTGCTATCCCCACTGCATGCACAAGTTTTTTCTGGATAGTGAATGGATTAGAGCATCCTTTAACCCTGAGGGCTGAATGCCATTCTGGAATCGCTCTTTTGGAAGACTGTATTTTTGGTGCATCTATTACCACTATATTTTAGCTTAAAGCACTTAAACTACTGTAATTAAACCTTCGGAGAGGCATTGCAGCCATGTAGGAGGAGGATGAAAATGGCACAAAAGCTAGAAAACCATCAAATGATGGGGAGTTGGAGGAAGTGAGTGGGGCCAGAGCAAGAGGTAAGGCTATCTGAAGAACCACAGAAGGCAGGATGCAGACCTCAGAATGGCCAGATTTGGCACCTGGGCCAGTGGTTCCTCCCGCCCCCCAGATTAGAGATCTGCCTGCTGTCGTTTTGCTAGTCCCCATACAGCTGATGAGAGGGGCTTCCTGGAACACTAGAAGCTGCTCAGCTTTCTCTCCGACTTCCTCTGTCAAAGCAAGGGGAATTCCTTCTCTGTCTGACTGTGTACCAAATGCTAAATCAACTGCACAGGCGGAAGAGGAGAGCTGCTCAGCCATTTCACATGATAAACCGAACATCCTGAGCATCTGCTCGGTGGCAAGTTTGTAACGACTGGTAAGGATTCCTTACAGTCATATTTTCACAACAAAATGAATGTCCATTGGAATATGTTGGACTTAATCATAAGTAAATCATCTCAAGGTGCAATCCTGTTAAATTTAGGCAGAAAAGGCCCACATCTCCCAGCATTGCTGGCTAGGGCATGATGGAAGTTGCAGGCTGTTCTGTTAATTTTTCTGTCTGAACTTGCATAGGATTGCCCTCTATTCTTTCAAAGAGGAAAAAACCAAACCAAACATTTCCTTAGCATGAGGTCTTAGTACATAGATATTACCATCACCAATCAAGCAGTATGTTGTGTTTTCTCCTACTTATTTTTTCTAAATTGACTTTTTAGCCCACCCAATTAGCCTTCAATTAATTATATATTAATGACCCACCCTGATTTTTATCTCACTAGCCAATGTGCAATAATACCAGGGAAGGCAATGGATTCCTTCAGGACTGGACAGGACTGCACTGGCCTGGACAGCAACAAGAGATTACAATCAAATTTCCTCCAGCTCATGATATTTTGCTTGCAGCACTGCCTCTGTCTTGGAAACATGTTTGTAGCTGTTCCATTAGTGCTGGGGCTATTTGAGTGCTTGTTTGACATGATTATTACTGTTGTTTTCTTTTTTCCAGTCACTTTGAACTCTTGTTGGAAAAGGGGCATAACTCTATAAAACAACACAAAAGTACATTTGTTCCCACTTGCTAAATAGCTTAGTTGGCCCTTGCTTCTAAGCGTTGTATACTTGTGGTCTTCCAAATGCCAAACCCAGAGCACAACCCTACAGCTCCCAACATCAGCTGAGAAACCATGGGCTTTTCGGAGACTCACCGCCAAGGTCCTCACAGCCAGTGCTGAAAGAGTAGTGCTGGCTGCCTGCCCCAGAGGTCTCCACTGGGCCTTGGGGGTCGGGGGAGCGATGTGGAGGGGCGGGAGGGCAGGACTGCAGAGTTGTGCCATGTCTCACTGGGCCCTAATCACCTTCCCTGCCCCTTTGTGGACCCTGAATCTAGATCTCTGGAAAGGGCCATCTAGATAAAGTGCAGGGGGTGAGGTGCAGCAACAGCAGCGATCAGCACCATCACTGCATGGCACTGCATCTGCTGAGCCTTTGGGCTCGGAGGCTTACAAGCATCTGCCACAGGGCCCACTGGATGGCACCCCCACTTGCTGGAAATGCTTTTCTGGCCATGGCATCATTACAATGAAGAAAGCCATTGCTTGTCACTTCCACTACACCAAATCAGTGCACATTTTGAAATCTGGGCATGTACTGAATGCCTCAAGTCTATTAAAATGAAGTAAAATTAATGCCTGCGAGGTCACTGCGTACACTGGTTTGCTTCTATATCCCCTTTTGTATGGCTGTGTAGTGCCATGTCACTGTAGGGTGTCTAGAATTACTACCACCAGCAGCAGCCATAACAATAAATATAGTAACAGAGCAACTTTTGTTCACACTAGATTTTGTGCCACATAAAAGAATAACATCTGTACAAAATGGCTATAGATACATTACAAGTAAGGTTCTAGTGAAAATATCATTTCATCTATGGATATTGATTATTTTTAAAAGCACCAAGCAACCCAAGACATTCTAAAAGGTTGCCAAATAAAAATCCTTATTCCTCAAGAAATCATGTTTT